CGGCCAGGGCGCCGAGGCGGTACCTTTAGCCGAGCGATGAAGAGAGCCCGGGAGACCCGACCGCAGCCGGCCGAGACGTTTCCTGCGCCCCGGGTGGCTGCCGCCGCCGCCGCCGCTGCCGCGTGAAACTCCCCAAAGTTGAGAGCCAGCGAGAGGCTGCCGCCCGCCGGGAGCAGGAGGGAAAGGAACTCGGAAGATGCAGGAGTGACGGACAGAGACAGACAGACTCACGGACCAGCAGACACCACCGTTCGGCGGCCTAGCCCCAGAGCCAGTGAGGCTTTTCGGCTCTGTGAGTTGTTTTCTGGATGTTGCTCTGCTTCCTATGTATTTCCGTTCAGTTGTTTGTAGGATGCGTTTGTGTATTTTTGTGTCTGTCGGAGGGAGTTTAAAAAACGACGCAGGATGCACGTTAACAAAAATCCTGAATTTCTGATGCTGAGACGGTTGTGTTGACAGATTGTAACTGTAAATGTCTGTAAGCAGGGGTAATAACCCAGGGGGGGAATTGCATTTCACGGTAAAAAGGCATCAGAGGCTCCCCAGCGTGAAACAAGCCTGCATTTCAAAAGTTACTGGGGAGAAAGCAAGGTATGACTCTGAAGGGTTAACTGGTGGTAGTTAACTTTGCTTTCTTGCCCCCCTTTCGAATATTGATTGTTTACCAGGTTCACTGGTGGGAAGCTGAGTTGGCGGAAAGACGCCAGGAAGAGACTTGGAGGCGACCATAATGTCTGTACGTTTACACACACTGCCCACCCTGCCTGGAGTTGTCAGACCGGGTTGCAGGGAGCTGCTGTGTTTGTTGGTGATCACGGTGACTGTGAGCCGCGGCGCCTCCGGGGTGTGCCCCACCGCTTGCATCTGTGCCACTGACATCGTGAGCTGCACCAACAAAAACCTGTCCAAGGTGCCTGGCAACCTGTTCAGACTGATGAAGAGACTGGATCTGAGTTACAACAGGATCGGGCTTCTGGATTCCGAGTGGATTCCTGTATCCTTTGTTAAGCTGAACACTCTAATAATTCGTCATAACAACATCACCAGCATTTCCACGGGCAGTTTTTCCACAACTCCAAATTTGAAGTGTCTTGACTTATCATCCAATAGGCTGAAGACCGTGAAAAGTGCAGTGTTCCAGGAGTTGAAGGTTCTGGAGGTGCTCCTGCTGTACAACAATCACATCTCCTATCTCGACCCTTCTGCTTTTGGAGGGCTCTCCCAGTTGCAAAAACTCTACTTAAGTGGAAACTTTCTGACGCAGTTTCCCATGGATTTGTATGTTGGGAGGTTCAAGCTGGCAGAACTGATGTTTCTAGATGTTTCTTATAATCAAATCCCCTCCCTGCCAATGCACCATATTAATTTAGTGCCAGGAAAACAGCTGAGAGGCATCTATCTTCATGGCAACCCATTTGTCTGTGACTGTTCCCTTTATTCATTGCTCATCTTTTGGTATCGTAGGCACTTTAGCTCAGTGATGGATTTTAAGAATGACTATACCTGCCGCCTGTGGTCTGACTCTAGGCACTCCCACCAGGTGCTTCTGCTCCAGGATAGCTTTATGAATTGCTCGGACAGTATCATCAACGGCTCCTTCCGTGCACTTGGCTTTATTCATGACGCTCAAGTCGGGGAAAGGCTGATCGTCCCCTGTGACAGCAAGACTGGTAATGCAAATACTGATTTCATTTGGGTTGGTCCAGATAACAGACTGCTGGAGCCGGATAAAGATCTGGAAAACTTTCACGTGTTTCGCAATGGAAGTCTGGTTATAGAAAGTCCTCGTTTTGAGGACGCTGGAGTGTATTCCTGTATTGCGATGAACAGGCAACGCCTGTTAAATGAGACTGTGGATGTCACAATAAACGTGAGCAACTTCACCGTGAACAGATCCCATGCCCATGAGGCATTTAACACAGCTTTTACCACTCTCGCAGCCTGCGTGGCCAGTATCGTGTTGGTACTTTTGTATCTCTATCTGACGCCCTGTCCCTGCAAGTGTAAAAGCAAGAGACAAAAAAACGTTCTCAACCAAAGCAATGCCCATTCGTCTATCCTCAATCCTGGTCCTGCTAGTGATGCCCCCGCTGATGAACGGAAGGCAGGTGCCGGTAAAAGAGTGGTGTTTTTGGAACCCTTGAAGGATACTGCAGCAGGGCAGAATGGGAAAGTCAGGCTCTTTCCCAGTGAGACGGTTATAGCTGAGGGCATCCTAAAGTCCGCGAGGGTGAAGTCCGACTCAGATTCAGTCAATTCTGTGTTTTCAGACACACCCTTTGTGGCATCCACTTAATTTTGTGCCTGTATCTGTATGGTATAGTAATTTAACTCTCCATACTTAACTTTCTGCGCAGTCTGCAAAATAAACAGCAGGACCGAAATGGTGTCGTTTTGCGTTTTGAAATGCAACCCAGTGGTCTCTTTAACTGGTTAAGAGGAAATGTGGTAACGCACTTTTGGTTTCTCAATGTGCCAGAGAAAGGTGGGGCTGTTTTCCAAAGTGTAAGTTCTAGATGACAATAGCTTGGTCTCTAGCACCACTGATCATTTCAGAGCTGGTGTGGAGGTGACATTGTCTTTTTATTCAGGATTCTTGCCAGAAAAAATAAATTTCAGTGAATTAGTGTTCCTTAAGAAGAGACTTTACTAGCTTATTTAGGACCAAAGTTATTTTAAAGACAAGCATCCGTGTCCTATTTCATTTTTAAAAGCTGTAGAAGGAAGAACAGTACTTATAAAACACAAAGTAAGGTTAGATTAGGGAATAATTCAGCTAATTTCATACTTGAGACCACGGTGAACAGACGACACTGATAAACTGTGCCGGATAATGCCACATCCCATATGGTGTTAGATAAATAGTGCAATAAAGGTACATTTGTTTGACTGTCTTCTTTCCATTCTGTACATTCCTTATCCTTGAACAAAAGACGTTATTGAAAGTTGAAAGTCATCATTCGTTGTTGCCATAAATATGTAGGCGTCAATACCAAAATGTCTGAGTAACTTCTTAAGCCTTTGTCCTAGCTGACTGGTATTTGTTTATATGCTCGTGTATATGTAAATCAAATTATATGAACTATTAAATAGATTCTCCTGTATTGTGCGCTGGACATTTGAATTAATGTAAATACATGTATTGTGTGAGTTGATGTTCTGTTTTATTGGGCTACGTAAAAACATAAATCTAAGATGTTCTATGTGATTACGCTGTTCTACTTTGTCTCGAGCACCCTCTCTAGCAGATATCTCTCCACATTTTTTGGAGTTACGGTATACGTTTATTTTGTCAAAGGGGGAGAAAGGCTCTAAAGTGTTCTACCCAATTTATACCTTCCATATGACATTTTACTCTGATACCATTATGCACTTCCGTCGGGTTTAGAAGACCAGCTCCAATTTTACGACACAGTGAGGGCCTAGGTGACCTCGTCCTTGTTTCCATGTCTGCTGTAAGGTGACCAAGTGTACTTGTTCTCTACCCAGGTTTCCTCAGCGGTAACATGAAGGTTTCAGACAAGGTGATGTTTTAGGCTCCTTCTCCCACTGAAGGGGTGATTTCTGGGTGTCCTTAGCTCCATCACAGACTTGTACTGGCTCTCAGAAACTATCCTACACGGTGATGAAACACAGGAGTGGGATTAGGACAGACTAGCATAGCGCTGCATAGCCCAAAGGCACGTTTTAGACCATCAAGCCCAGCTCTTTCCCTTCCTCAGAGATAAGTGAAGCCCAGAGAAGATTGTGGGTTATCTAAGACCACGCAGTGAATTAGTGACCAGGATGGAAACAGCGCTCGGGTACAGGATTCTTCCTGGCGAAGAATGCTTACTTTTAGCAGTAGGCATGGAGAATGAGCCAAAGAACGAGACAAAAGAGCGGTCAGAAAATGGCAAAGGAGAGTCAGGGCTGCGTGGTCCCCGGGACTAAGAGAGAAGAGGGTTTTTAAAAGGTGGAAATGGGCAACAGTGACAAAAACACGAAGGAGTTGAGGAGGGAAGACTGACTTTGGCAATGGGGGTTTTGGGGAAACCGTGTGCATTTGGTGACAGCTCTGTATGTGCCAAGCCAGGCATCCAGTGGCAGACACGGGTCAGGGATTTGAGGAGGGAGTGAGTGGCCGGGATATGGACCCCAGGGAATAGATACAGAGCCGCTACTCAACAGTGTTGAAAATTCTTTGTTGCGTGATGTGAAAAAACCATCTCTGCCTTTAAAACACAGACCTCACCAGTTAGATAAGATCCCTTTAGACCCAAAGATGTTACTGGCAAACGTTTTATTCCTGTTCTTGCCATTTAAGTAATTAGGAAGAATACTGTGATTTGTATGGCCTTTGAAGTCCTCATTCTTTCTTCCTTCATACTTGGAGAAACTCACTCAAAGATGCTGTGATTTGTTCAGCTTCACAGTCTGGACACAAGGAAAAACTCTTGAGCCACTGATGCTTTGCAGCAATGGGTGGGGCTGCCTCCAGGGGCCGTGATCCCCGTGACTTTGAGAGTGCCAAAGAACAGGGCCAGACGCTGGCAGGGAAGTTACAGAGAGGGTCTCTGAATTGCACCCTTTCTGGACAGGATACCTACAGACCTTGATCCCTCAAAACCCTTGATCCTAGGAAACACGTGTTGCATTTGGCAGGAGGACACGGGCGATGCTTGGAGTGGGGTGTTTGTGGAGCCCGATCTTGGTTGGTCCTAATACACTTCGGGTAAAAGAGAGGCTGAGCTGAGACCAAAACTAACATACGTACGATCCAAATGAAAACAAACAAAACTCCTGAATACTGAAAAGCAAAGCTGTATTTTGAACAAAAGTAGGATGGCATGGTGATGACGAAGCAGGTTGCTGAATGTTATGATGTGGAATTCTAAGTTCTTAGGTATAACTGTTTTTTTTTTTTTTTTTTTTTTTTTTTTTTTTTTTTTTTTTTTTCTGGTAGCAGCCTGATCACATGTATTTTAAATATAGGAACAGAACTAATTTGTACCTTAAGTTTGTCCCACTCAAAATTTTATATAATTTTCCTTCCAAGTAATAATCTGGATTATGTAACTAGGTTATTCTTTTAAGATACTTAGTATTTTTTATTACACAGTTTTGAGAGAAATGGATATGCATTGGAGAAATCAAGCAGAGACCAAAGATAAATTTTCCTGGGCTTAGAGTATTTTTTCACTATAATTAGATGATACTAGTTTTATGGCAAATGGACCCTATAGGTAATCATGAGTTACATTTCTTAACTATACTTTTTCTTAAGGTTTATAATCTGAAAGAATGGCCTAAAACATTTTCTTATTTATAATCAACTTCTACATTAACTTTCACTGTCTGGCCTGAAGAGATGTAAATATGCTTACTTTTGGCTTTTTAAAAATTATTCATCTTGAGAGAGAGACAGAGAAAGAGAAGCAGAGAGAGGGAGAGAGATAATCCCAAGTAGGCTCCATGCTGTCAGCACTGAGCCCAACTCGGGGCTCGATCTCACAAACCATGAGATCATGACCTGAGCTGCAATTGAGCCGGTTGTTTAACCGACTGAGACACCTAAGTGCCCCTATTTTTGGCTTTAGTTGCTTGACTTATCTGCCCAGAAAAAAAACAGCTTTTCATTTTTCCAAATAAACATTTTTCTAAAATGTTCATCACAAGGGATATAGGTAAAACTTACTGGGGTGGAAACAAGAGAGACAGGAAGATACATTGTCGGTCCAAATTCCAAAGAGATATCTGATTTTGGGTTACCCAGCTCAGTACTATTAAAACAGGATACAGCCTAAACATCCTCACACATCGTTGGCTTTTCCTTGGCCATAAATGCTGCTTGATTATTGCCCACTTTTCTGGTGTCCTCTAGTGTTTACCAGCTGATCTAGTAATAGGTCTGACACCAGGCTTCTCGATAGAATCATAAGGGAAAGGTAGATAAACAAGGGTTTCCAGCAGCTACACACTCCCTCTCCACACTCCCCAACCAGAGATTCTGCCTGAAAAGGTTTGGGGTAAGGCAAACCTGCATTGTACTTAAAAAAGTTTTTTCATTTCAATTTTCAATTTCATTTTCCATTCTGATTCTCCCTATTTTGATGAAATATATTCTAAACTGGGATCATGGCAAATGTTGTGGTTAGGACTCTGTCAGAATACACTATTATTACTCGCTAATGGATTTGTTAATAAAAAGAATTGTAGTGCTCTCTTAAAAAAATTCTAATGTAGGGGCACCTGGGTGGCTCAGTTGGTTAAGCATCCAACTTCGGCTCAGGTCATGATCTCACAGTTCATGGGTTCAAGCTCCTGCATCAGATCTGTGCTGACAACTCAGAGCCTGGAGCCTGCTTCAGATTCTGTCTCTCCCTCTCTCTCTCTGCCCCTTCCCTGCTCGTACTCTCTCCCTCTCAAGTGTAAATAAAATATTAAAAATATTCTAATGTGTTGGAGAAATGAAGGAGTTGATTCTCTGATACTAAATGCACTCTAAATTGTTGGTTGTAATTATGATTTATATTTTTCTAGATTACAAAATATAGAATAATTACTTTGAGATGACTAAATCTCTGATTCTCTCACTTTAAAAATATTTTTTATTTTTAAACAGATTTGAACAGATCTGGTGGATAACAATAAACTTACAAGCTTTCAGATTTGATTATATCATAGTAAAGTGAAGCCATGTTCCATGGATGTTGGAGTATAGATTTCATCTGCAGAAAACCAAACTCCTTTGTTTTTCCAATATAATAGAATGATAGGTTTTTTTTTTAGGTTATTTATTTATTTTGAGAGAGAGTGTGTACATGAGCAGGAGAGGAGCAGAGAGAGAATCCCAAGCAGGCTCTGCACAGTTAGTGCAAGGAGCCCAATGCAGGGCTCAAACCCATGAACTGGGAGATCATGACCTGAGCCAATATCAAAAGTCAGATGCTCAGCTGACTGAGCCACCCAGGTACCCCGAATAATAGTTTTTAAAGAGAATATTAAGGTTCCTTTCACTGGGGGCTTCCTGGGTAGTTTAGTCTGTTGAGCATCTGACTCTTGATTTTGACTCAGGTCATAATCCCAGGGTCATGGGATTGAGCCCCGTGACATGCTGAGCATGAAGCTTGCTTGAGATTCTCTCTTTCTCTCCCTCTGCCTCTCCCCCCCTAAATTAGAAATAAAAGTTTTCTTTCATGGTTCTCTTATGACTCTCTGCCCAAGAGCCAGTCCCCAAAGCCCTGTTTTTTATTTATAAAAAAATTGTTTATTTATGTATTATTTTTATTTATTATAAAAATAAGGAAGTTAGTGTGGATAGATGATTAGTTTGCCCTTGCAAGCATTATTGCATAGTAATATATTAAAAAGTAGAACTAAAAACTCATGTAATAACCTCTTGAGTAATTTAGAGGACTCTGTAAAGGAC